GGATTATTCGGTCATCGAAATTTCGACAAGACCGAATAAGGTTATTGGTTTATTCGACCACCGGAATTTTGACAAGTCCGTAAAAGATTACTGGATTATTCGGTCATCGAAATTTTGACAAGTACGAATAAGGTTTATTGGTTTATCCGTTTTGCCGAAACGATGACAAGTTCGAAAAAGATTATTGTTTTATGCATTTTGCCGAAATTTTGACAAGTCCCGACAAGATTATTGATTTATTCCAAATCCGAGAATACGTCAAAGTCCATGCGCATTGTCTTTGAGAGGTTAAAAAAAATCGATAAAAGTGGAAAAAACAGATTTATAGGTTTATTCGATCACCAAAACGTTGACAAGTCCGAAAAAGGTTATTGAACATGTCAAAGACCATGCAAATTGCTTTTCGCAGGTGAAGGTTGGGTTTGACGAAACACGCATTGATAGAAATGGAAACAAGGGCATTTCAGACTATAATTTTCGCTGTAAAGTACATATCCGTTTATAAAATGACGATTTATCGACAGGAAAACGGTAAAAAGTCCCAAAAAGATTGTTATTATAGTTTATTCCAAATCCGAGAAAACGTCAAAGTTCATACGCATTGCTTTGTAGTTTAAAAAAAATCGATAAAAATGGAAAAAAGAGGTTTATTGGTTTTTTCCACCACCGATATTTTAACAAGTCCGCAAAAGGTTATAGGATTGTTCGGTCACCGACATTTTGACAAGTGCCGACAATGTTATTGGTTTATTAGGTTATACAATAACCTTAAACGAATGGTAAAAATGAAACACCGATTTACATACTTATTTTTGGCTAAAAAACAGTTTCCACTTGGTCCTGTCTCGATTCCGCGCTTTCCCTCGATTTTCACCAAATCCATATATATAAACCCAACAAATTGCTTTTACCTATGAGACTCCCCGCCCTGGCTTCTTAGAAGCAAAAATCTTTGAACGAAATATGCGGCAAAAAGCGGGCGATAACTGCGCCGAGCGATCGGCCTACCCTTCTACTTTATTGGGACAGTGTACTTAAGTATACGTTCGTAAAGTCCCCCATAACCCAATAACCCAATTTTGGACGTAACACCGATCTGATCACATCGTCGTCGTTGATTACGTGGCCAGTATCCCGCTGGGCTGCAGGTGGGATGTGTTGCCAATAAGAAGTCGGGTGAAGGTTCGTTCGATTGCAGCGTGCTCGGTGCAGGTGCATCTAACCAAGCGTCGTGGAGAATCCCCGAGGTTTGCAACAGATAGCACGCTAATGTCTTGAGGTTCTTTGGAGAAGCCAGATGAGAATCGTCACACGAATCAAAAAGTACTAATTTGCCGTTCGCTCTGTGTCGACGTTGTAGCAGTCCCTGCTCTCATCGTACTAGATGTTGAAGAAGCGATGAACGTTTGTACACAGGTTTTCATAAATGTTTCGATATCTTTGACTGTCGAAAACACTGGCAGGGATATCGACGCACCCTCTTCCGACATCGACGATGTGGGAAGCTGGGAGAGAGATAAAACAAAAAAAGTTTACACACCGAGTTGTGGCACGACCTTTACTTCTTTATTGACACGTTGTAAGTGGACGTGGTCGAATCTGAGAGAGATGGATTCGTTAAAAGAGATGAGACGTTGCTGCATGGTGTAAACACCGGATAGGTACTGCTTGTGTGGAGTATTCTTCCTGGTAAATAATGTTTTCAGAAGCCGAAGGTTCAGCCCGATGTGCTTGTCGATATGCTCGTCTATACTTGAAAAAACGACGAGGCTTCGGGCCTCGACCAAACGCTGCAGTAACCACGGTAAAGGCGTGAACCAATCGCTGTTTATTGGTTGATCGGCGCTCCACTCGCTATCGCCTGCCGGATGTTTATCATCTGTCCAATCTCTCAGTGGATCCAACGAATCCGCTACCACTTCGATTCGCAAATCTGCCTGCTTCGATATGGACTGAAAGTACGACTGGATCTCGTCGGCCATGGCCCTTGCTTTCTCTCGATGTTGCGTGTAGCGTTGCCAGCCCTCCGGAAAGTTGTTGACGAGACAGTTGGTCATCAAGTCGTACCCGGAGGTTTGGTCCAAAATCTTGTTGTTAACGGTGTTGTACATTGGCAGAGCGGAGATGTTTCTTCCTCCGACTTTTTTGCCGTACATATGTCACACACAAAGTTTTTAAACCAAAAAATCTCTGTCAAGTGAGCGTCGTTTCCTTTGGTGGTCGAGTAGGTATATCGTTGTTGGAGGACTCTTCAACGATATACCGTAATGGACCTGCGTCAAGACGTGAAAACGGTAGTGCAATGGATTTATCACTGATCGCACCATTTCCAGTCCTTGCTTTTGCCCGGCCCGGAAACCATGTATACTCTTGTATATCAAGACGTCCACGATGTTTGCGTAGAACATTAACACATTTCGGATTTCCACGTCGAATGCCAGGGCAAATTCTTCGTAATCCTTTTGGAAGAGCGTGACGGATTTGGTCGCTTTCGGGCATTTCTGGTCAGCGTACCACATGGATGTTTCCGTCGTCGGTGTCATCTGCCTGATAATCTTCTCGATCACTTTCTCCGCTAAGAGTTTGCCGCAATTAATTCGTCCGTTGGTCCGTAAAACGGCCAACGCGACGAAGAGCCCGTGTCCATCCGTTTCACCTATCTTTACGTCTACCCAAAAGACGTTGGAAGAATGTAGAGCTGGTCTGTTCGAGTTGCTCGTCAGAGCTCTTATGGCCTTGACATTCTTCATTGTCTCGTGGTGTGTGATGTAAACGTATATTTTGGTCAGTAAGCATGGTTTGAACAGCAACAGGCTTCGACCACACACGAAAAAGGAGTCTACGTCGAGCGGCCTTTGATGTCGTTGGCCGGAAGGACAGCGTGTGGCGGTAGTTGGTCGAAGCAACCCGACGACGACTTACTGAACCATTGCCGAGCCGGATGCTGGTTCATGGTGGTTGTTGTTGTTGCTGTTGTTGTTGTTGCTCTTCTTGCTGTTGCTGCTGTTACTGTAGTTGCTCTTGTTGCTGTTGTTACTGCTGTTGTTTGTCATATCGTTGTTGTTTCCATCCTGGTGGTGGTCGGTTGATATCTGTTTGGAGCACGAATTTTAACGAGATCTGGGCATTCGCGTGCCGACAAGTCCATCACTTCGTTCGGTAGCGAACGCCTCGTCCTCCTCGTCCTCGTCAACGCGCTGCATGTTCTGTGTGATTGACGTTCTTGTTGTCATTGTTGTTGAGGTTGTTGTTGCCGTTGTTGTTGTTGTTGTTGTCGGTAGTCTAGTTACGTCGTCGAAAGGTACTGGTCGCAGCCTTGAAAAACAAAAGTTAAAAAAAAGAAGAAGTAACCTACCTAATAATATTAAGCGTTTCGAAATTAATACTTACTCCGTGTTCAGCTGCTCGTCGTGCCATGCCGACGACGCTCCTAGTGGAAAGATGTTGTCCCACGGGATCTTCACTTTGAAGGTAGGCTTTGCCATCATCTTATGTAGTTGTGTGAAAAATAAAAAAAAATAAAAACAATAGTTCGAATATAAACCAACATATTAATTTGTTACATCATACATTAACCCATTAAGTGGCAAACGTCCATGGCTGCAATGCTTCGATTTGACATTATGCCATTCGTACAATTCTCAATAGATTTGGATAAAATTTGGTTTCCTTATGTTTTAGTGTATGCTCTTTCGAAAAATCACCAAGTTTTTTTGAAAATCTTGACAGAAAAAAAAATATGGCCGATTTTTTCGAAAAAATTCCAAATTTTTTTCAATTTTTCTCCAAATTTCGCTCTGCTGAAAAGAAATGGACCATAAAATAGGCTCCCTGAATAATTTTTTTCGCGACATAGGACAATTATCTTTCAAGCGCATTCGACTTTATTAAAAAATGTTGATTAGAAAAAAAATATGGCGGTTTTTGTATCGTAGTGTAATTTAGAAATTCATGATTTTTTTACTCGAAAAATATCAACATTTGAAAAAAATATTATAGAACAAAAAGTGCTTAGCAGTGGTCAAGAAACATGTGAGAATTTTTGAAATTTGAAAAATTTTTTAAAATAAAAAATTGAAAAATTTTATAATAATTAAGTTTCTGTCTAAACATGTTTTTTTGACAATTCTTAGTGATTTTATGGCTGGTATGTATTTGAATTCAACCGAAAATGTAACGGAAATACAATCCAAGTTTTGCGAATTTACGCAGCTAAATAACATTTTTTAAATTAAAAAATCTCCACTTTAATAGTTTTTTGTTTGTATTTTTGTATTTTGTAATTTTTGTTTTTTTGTATTTTTTTGTATTTAATTTTTATGTTTTTAGAAATATTTCTTTTTTATAATCATTTGTTACCAATTATTTACTTGTGTAAATTAGCAAAGCATTGACTACAATAATACTTTTTACACTCTTTGCACATGTAAAACGTACGAGTAGCACATCCTTGTCCATTGCAAACTCTTCTTTTGATAGTTAGGCTCAAATTGTGGTTTTTCAAATCACCTAATTTAGCGTTTTTGACATAACTATCTACAATACTCAAAGCGAATTTCTTTGCGCTTACTTTTTTTTGCCTGAACAAGCACTATAGAGTATTACTGCATTTGCAATAGAAGACTGGATAATTCTCATCAATATTGGCCAAGTCCATTTCTTACTTCTAATAATAGGTAATAAAGCACTACAGTACTGATCGTGTAGGTCAACACCTCCCATAAATACGTAAGTTGTAAAGTGAAAACACAAGTAGCAGAGAAATGTCAGTTCTCATTTTTTTTTCTTTGGAGTCTTTTATTTTTTTATTTTTTTTTTTATTCTTTTTTTTCATTTTATTTATTTTTTTTTACATATTTTTATTTTTTTCCAAAAATTATTTGGACGGACGTCCAACGGCGGGATTTCGTATCCAAGTACGCCATTGGATAACCCGCCCAACATCTTCCTCCATACACCCGGCCGCTCCGAAATCCTCCAACGATGCTTCGCGGCGTAGCTCACGGGCACGCTTCAGCAGATACTGGCGCGTCTGATTTCCGAAATCGGGCGCGGCAGTATTTATCGTGCTGAGATCCAGTGCGTTTGCCGCAACTGCTCTCAGCATGATCTGCCGAAGGAAGTCCTGAAAATGAAAGAAAAATAATTTAATAAAATATTAGTTATTATTATATAAAAATCGTATTGGACTATAACATACCCGTTCCACTGCCGCGGTTCTCCTATCTGGTCGTTGGCGAACATCCGCTGCAAGAGCCTCTCCCTCGTCTTTGGAGAGGTGTACATTCTCTTCCTCCTCATTGTCGTCGATCTTATCGACGACGTCGCTGGAGGACAAGAGGATAGGGGATGGGGAAGGCGAGGAGGAGGAGGAGGAGGAGGAAGACGACGACGACGACGAGGAAGAGGATGAGGACGACGAGGAAGAAGAAGAGGAGGAGGATGAGGATGAGGATGACGAGGAAGAAGAGGAGGGCTGAATCCCGCCGGGTGTACGTGGCGACGTTGGTGGTGGTGGCGATGGTTGTGACGATGGTGGTGGCGATGGTGGTGGCGATGGTGGTGGCGATGGTTGTGGCGATGGATGTGGCAATGGGTGTGACGATGGTGTTGGCGGTGGTGATGGTGTTGGCGGTGGTGGTGGTGTTGGCGGTGGTGGTGGTGTTGGCGGTAATGGCGGTGCTGGCGGTGCTGGAGGTACTGGCCGTACTAGCGGTATTAGAGGTGGTGGTGGTTGGTGCACTGCGGTCGGGACGACAGATTCCGTCGTTAAAGTATATTTCCAACTGAATCTGTCGGTCCTAACTGCCTTCGCCCTGAATAATTCGGACCGCAGGATCAACCACCGTTGTTGGCGGGACTTTTTTTTATCTGTAACAGAAAGGTAAAAAAAAACATTAATCGTATTAAATAATTAATTATATAAGCAAAAGACGAACAGTAAGCTTACAACTAACTACAAAAAGCAACATTCAAAACTAGTTTTCGACACAGTACATGCAATATTTTGTATAATAAATACCTTTCACGCCCTTGACTACCCTGCGAGACCTGAAACAAAAGTCAACTGCAACATACGTAAAAATATGACAATTATTTGATCGGTTCTTCGCTATCTATTCTTTCTCGGTGATCTGTTACAGAGAAAGAGTAGATCCCAGGGTCAACGACGAGGACGTGACCGATCTTCTGACCCCGCGGTAACCCATACGTTACCTTGTCCTCAGTACGACATTGTCCTGGCCCTCTACTGCCGAAGATAGGACAATCTTCCTGTGCAAAAACTACACGAAACAACACAGACAAAGTAAACTTAAAAATAGTCGGCGTTTACTTGTATCAATGTATCATATAAAATCTGACTCAAATAATCATATCTTATAATACTCCAACTAGCGATATTATATATATCTTCATAGTTACCAAATTCTGTTCAAACTTATTGATATTGACTTAGGAAACTCACTCAAGAATGCTGCGGATCCTGTTAATCTATACGGTAACATACTGCCTTGATTCTCTTATAATTTTTTAAATGTTAAAGTTTGTAATGATGGAGAGAAAGGAAATAGTGAGAGATGGAAATTCACTTAATTTTAATTATATTCAGCAACGTTTCGTCAGAACATTTGCTCACCTCTTCAGACTTTATTAATAGAAAAACAACAAATTATTAACAATAGGGTTGCATTTCTCTCGTAGTCAAATTATTATAGGTTAAAACGAATAACTCGTAGCACAGTCAAGTTACAATAAAGTGAGAAATCAAGTATTTCAACCCATATATATATACTCTTCATCCATTATCTCTTCCTCATCGATCTTAATTAAGGCTTATAAATTACAAGGAGACGTAAAAACAATTTTAAAAGACTGGAATGATAATGGTTTTCTGAAAAAATATTGGCATAACAATGATTTAACTCAAACTGACACATCTATAGCAAAATGCTATGGATTACCTAAAAAATTCATAAAGAAAATGTTCAACTACGTCCAATAATTTCATCAATTAATAGCCCTACTAACAAATTAGCAAAATTCTTAGTGCTCTTAAAACAGTTATATAGAAACCTAACTCTCACATTTTAAACAGTGGACAGTTAAAACAGAAACTAAAAGATATAGTTATTGTTGAATGCAGGGATGGGTTAATTAATAAATTCTGATGCTTGATGTAATTTATCTAGTGTTGATTTATTAAAAGTAAAACTATCGTTAAGATCGCAAAAGTCGTCGATGTGTCTCGAGCGGCAAGAGAGAACTGAGCGCTCTCGTTGGCGCGCCCGCCGCAAAGCATGGTAGAGGAGAAAGGGAAAGTGGGCTGGACAATGCCTTGCGTCGAGTAAGGAATGCGCCACCAAATTCTCAACACTCCCTCCTGGTGCATGCGTCCCTGAGTTTATTTGTCCCAGTCCTCCTCTTCCCTTTCAGGCTCCTGATTTTCCACGATATCAACTACTTCCGTAATTTCTATTTTCTCCGTTACCTCCGTAACTTCTAAACCCACTCTCCAGTCAGGAACACTCGTCCAGTGTGGTTTGAATGTGCCTTCATACCTCGTATCTTCCTTGGGATAGGGATCGACGTGTTGTGTGTGAAAGCCGAACTGCCTCCTTCGATCGCCAAAACCTCTCTGCATTCTGGGTTGTTCCATCTCTGTAAATAATTGTTATTCGTTCGTCAACTTTCGTTATTTCGCTCGCTTCGTTTGTAATTGTTATTCGTTCGTCGTCTTTCGTTATTTCGTTCGCTTCGTTAGTCTATTCTTTATTATAAGTTTAATATCGCTTTCGTTTGTTCTTCGTGTATCGTGAACGTCAGTGGTTTCGTGAATATATCCGCTAGTTGTTGCTTTGAAGCTATCCACTTCAGATTGATTATTTCCCTCAATAAGCACTCCTTTACGTAGTGCTCGCGTATTTCAGTGAGGTGTCTCAATCGTGTTTCTCCTTGTATTTGTGCACTTGCAATGGCTGCACTGTTATCGTAGTGTAATATCGCGGGATATATTGGTTCGTTAGTGAGTTTCTCGAGTGATTTTGCTATTGATATGAGTTCAACACAGGCTTCGCTCATTGCAATATACTCGGCTTGACATGTTGACAATGACACGTATGTTTGTTTTCGCGTTCGCCAAGACACCGTGTCTCCGTACATTTTAATTAAGTATCCGCAAGTCGTTATTGATCCTTTACAGTCTGCTAAGCTGGCGTCCGAATAAACTTGCATATTGTTTGTGTCACCTTTATACGTTAAAGTGTAGTCTTTAGTTTTATTTAGGTACCCGAATACGCGTTCTACAAATTTCCATTCTGTGTCTGTCGGATTGAGCTGATGGCAACTTAGTACGTTTACTGTATATGACAAGTCCGGTCTAGTTGCGTTCGCGAGGTACAAAAGTGAACCAATTACTTCGTGATATTTGCTCGGATCAATTACGAGCTTATTTCGCGATTCTGTTTCTCGTTCTCGTCTTTCTCTATTTAAAACTTGACTCGACACCATGGGAGTTCGTTTAGGGTGTATTTCCGTGTACTCGAATTTTCTTATAATTTTCTCTATGAATTTAGTTTGATGTAATTTCAACGTTCTTTCGCGTTCGTTTCTTTCAATCGCGATACCAAGATATTCTTTCGGTTCTCCTAAGTCTTTCATGTTAAATCGGGCTTGCAGTTTATGTTTTATTTCGCTCATTTTCTCCTCGTCATTTCCTACCATGAGTACGTCGTCTACATATATTATGATTACAATCTTCACTTCGTCTTTAATAAATATAAACATACATGGGTCAGAATCCTCTACTCTGAAGCCTAACTTAATTAATTCTTCTGTGATGGTTTCGTACCACCTTTTCGGACTAGTTTTTAAACCATATAATGATTTTTCTAATTTTAACACGAGTTTTCGTTTTTCGTCTGTCGTGTACGGCATCCCTTCGGGTATTTCCATATATATTTCGTCATGTATTCTACTGTTTAGAAACGCAGTTTTTACATCTAATTGAACCATTTTGAATTTATGTTTATTTGCGAATGCAAGTACTGTTCTAATTAGTGGCAATCGCGATACCGGTGCATAAGTTTCGCGTAAATTGTAAAAATTGCTGTCTTTAAATCCGCGTACAACTATTCTCGCTTTTCTTATATTATCCGTTTTAGTTTTAAAAATCCAACGTGAATCTAATATGTTTGGTTTCCGACCGTTACCGTCTAAATTTGGTCTAGACACTACTTTATACACTTCGTTTTCATTCAGTGATTCTAATTCTTCGTCTACTGCTCTTTTCCATTCGAGTCTGTCAGTACTTTTCATAGCTTGTCTATACGTTGTCGGGTCTTTGTTAATTTTGGCTAACAGTGTGTAGTAAGTCTCGTCACTGTTTTCGTCATTGTTACACTCGCTCAAGGTCAGCATTGCAGTCTTAGTCCTTTTAGGTCTACCTCGTTTTCGTTTTTCCGTCTTTTCTGGCACTACTCCCTCCGTTTCCGATGTCTCTTGTTCGTTATTTAACTCACGCGTTTCTCTTTCCGTTTCTAAATTTTCTTTTTCGTTGAATTTCAATTCCTCGTAATCTTCGTTTGATTTTCTATATACTTTCCCGTAAGTGATTCTTTCGGCAAATCTAATATTTCTACTTTCGTACATTTTCTTATTAATAGGATCGTACAGTATATATCCTGTGCGCATGTAACCAACGTGTACAACTTTAATCGTTCGTTTATCAAATTTACTCGATGGATTCTTTGTGATATAGGCTATACAACCGAATCTTTTAATTTGGTTTATATCTATGTTACAGTTTGGAGCGAATAGTTTAATCGGTGCTCGGAAATCTAAAGTTCGATGCGGCGTAATGTTATACACATATGTCATTGCGCCTAACGCTAAATCCCACATGTTGGGCGGTAATCCGGAGTCTAACAAGGCTGAACTAATCTTTCGCTGTATGGTTTGGTTGAATCTTTCGGCAACCCCACTGTGCTGCGGAGTGCCTGGACATACTGCCAGGAGTTCCGCCCCAAATTCTTTTAGCACTTCAATCGTTCGTTTTCCAGTATATTCGGTTCCTTGGTCGCATTCTAGGTAACATACCTTAGAGTCTTCTCTTCTGAGATTTCTCGTCGAGACGATAAAATCTCTCAGACACTCGGGTACTTCGCCTTTATGTTTAATTGGATATGTACCCGCGTATCGAGAGTAGCTATCAATGAATGACGAGATATATCTATAACCTTTCGGATAAGCTGTCGGCGTGATATATCCCATAAGATCTGCGTGTATTCGTAACAAAGGTTTATCTTCGCGATGTCTTACATTCTTGAATGGAAGTTTCTTGAGTTTAGTTTGTATACACGTCTCGCATTCTTTAATGCTTTCGTCAATTTCGTTTTCCTTTAAATTTTTAATCTCGGGGTATTCTAATTTTAGTTTCCTAATATATTCGCTCGACGCGTGTCCTAATCTTATATGCCATATTTTCGCTGTGCTAATCCTATCCAACTTTGCAAACTCGTCCAGTTCGGTGTATACATTTGCCTCATCTCCTTCTTCAGTTAGGTTTTCTATTTGTCTGTCTCGAACCGTACTCAACAGATCTTTGGTTTCACTTACTCTAATCGTCGTCTTTTCAACCTTTTCTTTTATTTGTTTGTCCGATTTTTCTTTAGTCGTGTTTAATTTACTTCTTGTTACTACGTTTGCGTACACGTCTGTTTTAATTCGTTTACCCTCGATCGCTTTTAAATTCTTATTTTGAGATCCTATTTTAATAATCCAAAAAGGTCGTTTATATTTGCCTGACAAAAACGTTTGTTCGGTTTTAGGGTCGTATATATCGATTATTTTTCCATCTAGATATACACTTAATCCTCGATCCACGAATTTTCTTAATGATATTAAATTTTTGGCTAGATCTTTCGCGTATATTATATTTTTTAATTTAACGGGTTTTCCTTCGTTATTAAATCCTTCGATTATTCCTTTTCCGTTATATTTTAACCTAGCGTTTGATGATTTATTCGCGCAATAAATAAAACCTGTTTTATTTCTATCGAGGGTGACGAAGCTTAGTCAGTTATTGTTCATGTGATCTGACGCTCCCGTATCAGCGATGTATTTGTCCACGGTTTGATCCTGATCAATTTCGTCTTCGCTATCACTTCGTTCTGTCTCCGAGTTTTCGCTTTGTTTTTCGCCTTCGTTATCCGCGAAATTACAACGCGCTTTGTTTTTATTAAATTTTCGGGTTTTACCTTTTTCGGGCTGATACCTTGACCTATCCAAGTTGTACTGCTTCGAACTGTCGCCTCTTCTTTCGCTATAACGAGTTGTAGCATCGTTCCTTGGCCTCTTAGCCGACGTATTGCGTCTTTCGTCATCGTACGTTCTTTTTCTTTTCTCTCGTCTACATTCTTCGGCTTTATGTGTGCCAATTTGATTGCAATTGTAGCACTTGAATTTGCCCGGATTAGGACATTTGTCTTTAATGTGTCCATCGTCTCCG